AATTAATTTTATTAAATAATAACATACTTAAATTTATTTTTATTATTTTATAGGAATTTTAGGAATTTTATACATTACAAAAAAATTTTTTTTTTTTTAAATAAACTTATATTTTAGTATTATGTGTGAATAATTTTATATATGCCAGATATTTACTAAGAATGAATCAGTGAGTGCTTTGAGAATAGAGGCCTGCACGGGTCATCATAATTTAATGATTACTCAACCCGAACCTGACTTGATAATCGTGTAGTTTGCCATTTTTTTCTGCCGTTTTTTTTTGTCGATCAATATTTATCACATGAAATTTCTCACCGAAAATATATTATTAACAGTATTATTAATGGAAAAAATTTTTTATTTTTGGTGACCTGCCGTTTTTTTATTAACATTAATTGAAAAAATATATTTTTGGTGACCTGCCGTTTTTTATTAATTTGAAAAAATATATTTTTGGAGACCTGCCGTTTTTTATTAAAAAATATATTTTTGGTGACTTGCCGTTTTTTTTATGAATTGAAAAAATATATTTCTGGAGACCTGCCGTTTTTTTATTAATATTAATTGAAAAAATATATTTTTGGAGACCTGCCGTTTTTTTATTAATAGTAATTGAAAAAATATATTTTTGGTGACCTGCCGTTTTTTTTTTATTAATTAGAAAAATATATTTTTGGTGACCTGCCGTTTTTTTTAATTGAAAAAATATATTTTTGGTGACCTGCCGTTTTTTTATTAATTAGAAAAATATATTTTTGGTGACCGCCGTTTTTTTATTAATTGAAAAAATATATTTTTGGTGACCTGCCGTTTTTTTATTAATTGAAAAAATATATTTTTGGTGACCTGCCGTTTTTTTTATTAATTAGAAAAATATATTTTTGGTGACCTGTCATTATTAATATATAAAGAAACTAATTCGAAAAAAAAATCGTATTTTTTTATTATAAGTTTTTTTATCAAGTTTTTTTATCAAGTTTTTTTATCAGGTTTTATTTATCATAAGTTTTATTTATCATAAATTTTTTGAAATTTTTAGGTAAGTGATATATACAGAAATTTAATTAAATATTAGAGTAAGATATTTAAATCATTAATAGACAGTCATCATATGAACTTTATTATTTAAATTGAATTTAAGACTTTTTCAATAAGCAAATAACGTTTTTACCATTTAAAAAAATGGTTTTTTCTTTAAAAGATATAAATGCAAGATAATTTCCTCTGAATCAAGACAAAATGATAAAAAACTTACAATAAAAAAAACAAGAGAATTAATTATATATCAATATTAATAAAAAATGGCAGGTCACCAAAAATATATTTTTTGTTAGCATTGATGTTGTGTTAATTAGTGAATAATATATTTTTGGCAACAAATTTTGGATTTGATTGACAAAAAAAAGCAGCAGAAAAAAACAGCAAACTACACGATTATCCTGACTTGTACATAAAAATTATAAAAATCTCAACCCAAACCCAACTTATAAAAATTATAAAAATCTCAACCCAAAACCAACTTGTACACAAAAAATTTCAATTAACAACATTGTAACACAATTGTATGTCTTTAACAAACAAACATGACTTGGCTATTTAATCATTTCCTTCATTTCCTTGTATGTGAATGCCTCTATCCATCAAATATTCATGATGTTCATGATGATTATTTGATACATTTGATATCATCATTGACATAACAAACAATTGCATCACCCAGGTAGTAATGATACCAAGGCCATTCATGAATGAAACTTTTAATAATGCGTGTCTACCCAGATCTCTGGGGTTCACAATAATAAATTACAATTATGGTTGCTCATGAATAATAAATCTGATGTTGATTGCAGGTGTCAGATTTAATTAAAATTTCCTGTTGCAAACATGTGGTTATGTGCTTTCACACGCCTCATAACTGTGGATTTTTCTCCACAGTTGAGGTCCCCCACATGTTGGAAGGCTTTGGACAAACCTTTTATTTATCTTCCTCTCAGACCAGGCTTGGCTGTCACCATATGAGCATTGATCACTGATGAAGATCAGCATTTGGGTGATGTTTGCTTTGTGTTATCATCTCTCACTAAAATAAAGTTGATTTAAATAACAAATTCAGTTGGTCAAACAAAAATTAAAGAGAAACAGAGAATTTATGAAAATGATTAATTTATACATAACATACCAAACAGAATCTGAACCATTTTATTTTACAGTTTTCTCCTTGATGCCAATGATCATGGTGACTTTCACAATAGGAGTGGGCAGAATTGAACTGCAATACTTATTGGTCTAACAAAATTAAAGAAACAGAAAATTTATGGGAATGATTAATTTATAACATACCAAACAAAATCCGAACCATTTTATGACTTTTTTATTGTTAGCCATATTGCTGACAAAGATGTATATAATCATGCAATAATTTTAATCTACAGAACAAGGGACTTATTGAGCAAAAACCAATCCAGTTCCCTACCCAAAATTATAAATTGGTTAGTATCAAAGAAACAGAGAATTTAGGAAAATGATTATACAAAACTAACACTATTTACAACTTTCCTCTTAACATCAGAGTTCAATGCAATTTCAGGGCCACCAACCCTGCTCTGAATTGCGACTTCCTGTGCTTGGAACAAATTGCAGATTCTCTTGATATTCCTCCAGAGTTGCAACATCTTGGTCACAGAGCCATCCTTACCCAGAGGTGGGATCGTTGCAGGCAACTTTTCAGCTAGAATGTCAGCAGCCTTCTCTGGTCTGGGAAGATTACCTTGACGATTGATGCAATCATGATAAACTTCAGGGCCTTGCTCCCCCCCTGAAAATTCTGTAGCATTGTTGTATCATCGGGGCGAGCAGTCAGATTAGCCTTTTGTACATGAGGAATACGTGAGAATGGCTGTAAAGTGTTCAAGGTAGCGTGCGTGCTTCGACGTCTGCTAATCTCCGATAATCAAACGTCGCATATCGAAATGTCTCTTTTTCAACGGTGTGCTACCTTGACATCTTGTAATTATAATATTATAATTATTATTAATAAAACTTCATAAAAAAAATTTATTTTTATCACATATACTATAATTACATTTTTTTTTATTATCAATTTTTTTTCTTTGAATAAATAATATGTCTTCACAAACTTTACATCCTAAACAAGATGCTGTCAATAAATTCTTAACTGTTCTAAAGGATTTTAGAAAAGATGAAACACGAGTTAACAATACTCTTGGTTTTACTCCTGTAAGTAATGTTCTTAATTAGTTAAACCCCAACAATTTCTTTCCTCGTTTTACTTATTGTTCTCACCTTTTCCGAATAAAAAAAAAGTTTGATAAAAAGCAGCTTAAACAAGCAACTGTTATGGCTTCCGAATTAATGATTGTAGCCAATGAAAACCCTAATGACCCAATTGAAAATGTTTTAAAAGTTGCTCAAGAAAAAACTAAAACAAATGATCCAGAACTTGTTCATTGGGCTCTTATGATCTTTATATCTCATCATCCAAGTGCACGTTCTGGTCAATTGCATATCCCACCATTAACCAAACATACCCCTCATAACTCTGTTCCTAAACAACAACTTAATGTCTTGGCTCCAGGTCCTGCTATCTTTGGCAGTGGTGGATTAACAGCTGCTGCTGGTCAACAACAACAAGAATCCCTAATTCAAAATATTAATGAAGCTGAATTTGCTATAAATTTCTGGCATGAAGATCCAAATTTTAATGAACATCATGAACATTGGCACATTGTCTATCCTGGTGAGGGTGTTCCTGATCCTAGTAATCCAAAAAACTTCATTCAAAAAGATTGACAAGGCGAACTTTTTATCTATATGCATCGTCAAATGTTAGCAAGGTAATATAAATAAATACAATAAATATAAATGTATAAATAAATTTTGGGGTAATGAATAATAATACGTTGTATTAAAAATATCCATTTTTAGACATGATGCAGAAAGAGCTGCTTTAGGAATTTCTCTTGTCAATCCATTAGACAATTTTGATGAACCAATTCCGGAAGTGTACAATCCGAGTGGAAATCTAGTTGACAGTGATCATACACCATTTGCAACTCGTCCTTCTGGATTACGTATAGGTGACTTGGGTGAGGGGATGACAGTTGCTGAATTGAAACAAATTGAAGCAAATATTAAAGCAGCTATTAAGAAAGGTCAATTTAAAGATGGTTCTGTCATTACACCTGATCTACTAGGCAAGACACTTGAATCCTCATATTCAGGAAATTATCAAGAATGGGAAAAGTACATATGGTTGGCTCGGTCTAAAGACCTCATATTGCTGCGCCACACGCTCAAATTTCAAAAATTGCGATTTCATGATTCGTTCAAAAATGCAATAAAAACTTTTCAA